AAAATTATTTTCATGTCCCGTCAGACAACGAGGGAGTTGAAACGTTTAATTTCCTCCCGGTGGTCCGGATGTACCATTTCCATGGAACGTGCAGCGCGAAATACTACAACCTAAGTGTCCCTCCTCCTATACGCCGTCTAAAGCGTGGACGTCCACATGACCTTCTACGCTAATTTGTCTACTGTTTTGTTTATTCTCTCATATTTATTAATTCTTAATTAAATCTTAATTGTACATACGATGTTACATACCTATTACTGTTATATAATAATATAGTTAGTTCTAAGTTCATAAAACATTGTTAAATTCTAATTTATCGATTCTTACTGATTTTGTAAATTTGTTATGTTAATCTTTTTCAAAATGTCAAAATATTATATTTTTTTAGCCTTAAGTTTAGATGAACAATGGTCAAGAAAACTTTATAAATTAAAAAAAAAAATCCATGGAACGTGGTGGATAATAATAGGTATACCACTGCATAACAGACAATAAAATATATGCGTACTTTTCGTCGGTACCCGCAACAAATACTGCGTAATTATCTTGACCAGCGATCGCACATTAGATTTATTTGATGCCATTCGAATTTTTGTCATCGGAACGTGGACGTTACCTATGTTTACATAGTAACCCCCGACCACGTTTATGTGTACAATAACAGGTATGCCCACTATCGTTAAAAATTCGGTTCTTCTCAAATCTGCCAACTTCAAATCCGTCCAAACCTCTATTCAGTACCAATCCAAATCAATGTTTTACAAAAGTTTCTTCTCTGATCACGACCATATTCGACTTCTAGGAAAAATCCATACCCCTCCAACTATCAAAGGAAAACCCAAACCATACCCATTTATGTGGATCAATTAATAAAACTATTATCCATTCAAATTCCATCSACTAGAAAAGGCGCARGCCTGGTATAGTTAAAGCATAGCCACCCCAACAAAGCAAAGCAAAAGCCACGTTTATGTATTTCACTCGGAAATCATGATCGACGAACTCACTGACGGTAGTAAACTAGTAACAATTCGGTCACTATACGCGTATCGAGAAAATTGTGGTTTTATAGTAATTCTGGTATTTAACACGTTGTTGCCAACATGCACGGGGTTCGTCGATTATAAGTCATAATTAAAAAAACAATGATAATTTTAATTTATAATACTATAGCGAATGATTCATCAATAATGTTTATTGTTCAGTGTCTGTCCCGATTTTTGCATTTATGAAAATATTTTTTGCGTATATTTAGATTTTTCATGTGAGAATTTTGTGTTTTAAATTATTTATTTCAAATAACTGCAATGCATTTTTTCTGATAATTGTTAAATAGATGATTTTTATAAGAAAATGTTGATATATTTTTTAGTTATTAAATTTAAGTACTAAGGYTACTGGATAGTCGATGATTATAGGTTARAAAGATTTGATGACTATGATGGTTTAAAAATTATAGTCATTAATATTAATGCTTTGATGAGTTTTGATTTAATAAATCGTGTGAAACTACTACGTACTAGACCAAATATTAGTGAGTACGAATAATGAAAAATTAAGTTTCTTAATAATTAATATTTTAATCACCATGTGAATGATATAAAATATCCAAACGTTTTAAAATAATATTGTGCAGGTATTTAAGTGAACTTAAAATTTCCGAAAACCAAAATAATTTAAACAAAAGCATAATTGGGTGATTAAAATTGGGCAAGAATGATTGGTGAATGGTGAATCAACCTATAATATAGGTACATTGATATATATGAGATGGTCCTTGGTAGACGATTCATTCGAAAACGGGTGACTGTTATTAGCTCTGTTGGAAATGATTGATGCGATTATTTGAGGGTGCTTACGCGTCGGGAACGACGATTATTGTTTCGAAGTGAGAGATGACGGACAATATTATACAGACAGAACTAAAGAGGGTGTGTGTGTGTGTGTGTGTGAAAGAGAGTGTGAGTGAGAAAGAGTATTTATGTATGTATGTATGTGTGAGTGTGAGAGAGAGTGAGCGAGAGGGGGAATACTACGTACATGAAAGACAATATAGCTCACGCGAATTCCAACGAAACCTCACCGAATATTAATCATAAATATCTRTACTAAAGCTGCAGAAGTATTGTGGTTGCGATGTTTAATTTCGTTGGTTGCTGCAACTAWAACGAGTATGATTGGTCGTGAAACACAAGGTATTACAGTATTTTTCGTACGTTTCGTATAATCATCTCTGCGTCGTAAAATAAGTACATTTCAGTCAAACATATTTATCGGTCAAGAACAATTTTTAAATAGATACACGCACTACGCAGTAAGAAATTTAATAGTTTTATTTTGTCACTGAATGAATGATGAGTTTGAAAATAATTTATTTAGGAACATTTGTCAAAAAAGAAAAGTAATTTTATTGTTTTAAAAAAAATATACTGTTTTTCGTTTTCATGAATAATACGTAACATATATCGCATATAATACACACACATATATACATATATATGCAAAAATATAGTGACGGTATTCCGCGTCGCCGTGATAACGCAGTCGTATTATAGCCTATATATACGAATAAAATGAGAATCGTCAGTCGTGCGAAATTATAGGCCATGAGTCACTCTTGCCTTTGATGTCAACCCCATTTTCGGACGCGATTCGAATACTCAAAGGTGTGGTGAGTGTATTTGTTAGTTATTTTGTTTTTTTTTTTGTTTTTGTTTTTAATTCAAACCGCAAAATGGTGTGTCTGTGCACAACCGGAGTAGGTCTGAAATGTGTCAGTTACACATCACACGGGCGGACGTTTACGTATATTGTGGTTCGCAGAATTTCGTGCATTGGAAATCTAGTTTTATTATATGGTGCCGACGGAAACTGTACTGTTATGTGTTATGCGTGGGAGATAGGAAAACTAGGTTCAGAACGAAAGCTATTGAAAAAAGRAAMAAGAATAAATAAGTACGACTTTACGTAAACGGTGTTTTCGACTTGGCGGCAGCGGTGTTGTTGTCGGAGTGGCATTTTACCTATACGATGTGGAAATCGTCGGTTTTTATGAACTACAATGTGCCTGAGACGATTTATAATAATAATAATAATAATATGATATCATATTATACAAAAGGTATTTGTTATATTTGACCTCGATCGAATCCGTTTCGGTTCTGATAATACCAACTTCTCGTAATCCCTTACACCTAGCTATACTAAAGAACGGATTTAATAATCTCCTCCGTCGTACGTAYACCTATACGTTGATAATCTCGCCTTGACGGAGGATTTCACGCGACACCGCTTAATATCGTATAATACRCTCGACGTTGACAAACTGCCGAAATAATACTGTTTCGTTACACTGCGCGTACCAATAACAATGAGCGAGATGTTTTCGCGACCTAATCGGAATGAACGAAGAGCAGGATGAGTATGATTAAACGGCGTCCGTGTGTGGTGGTGGGCAGGGGAGAAATCACGGCCAATCGTGTTAAAGTAGCAGATTTAAGGGGTAGCTTACTCTGCCATTAGATTAACTCCTACAGGTTAATAGGACGAACTACGTAACGAACGTAATAGCCGGTAAAAGATATCAGGTATCCACGAAGACGTCGGTTAGATTTTCTTCGAGGAAAAAAATTAAGCCCGTGTCGTGTGAGAATTCCTAATGGAATAAAAATACTACAATCATTATTATATATGCGCAAGTTCTACATGAATGAGAAAAACCTATACACTACCTGTGTTATTTCTGAAAATCTATTCTGACAGAAAAATTATAACATTGTTTGATTGTGTGTAAAAGTCATAGTGGCTTTATCATTGGATCAGAACTCATCTGTGGCGTATATAGAAATAATTTTTGGGGTGGGCTATATAGTATCTGGCAAGTAAAAAATGATCTATCAACTAAAGGCTACTATATACATTTAACAGTTACGACTGTAATTTCGGAGGAGGGGCTGCAGTCCACTAGGCTCACCCTTATATTAGCCACTGGAACTCACACATAATCTATTTCTTATTCTGTCTTTTACAGGGCGTACGTTAAATTACATAGATCGCATTATGTGCACGTGTACAATAACGATACGACGGAGGACGGACTTGTACACGGTTTTCGAAAATCTATGTGTGTAAGTATGGTATTGGGTTAGGAAACAGATTCATAGCAGGTCATAGTATATTAAATCATTTGCACASACACACATTGCATGCAATGAAACCAGATGATGAGTAGGTATACGAAACAGGAGAATTTCATCACGAGACGCGCACATTATTAATGGAAGCGGCGGTGGTCGGTGGAGGCGTCACGTCGACGTAAGTTGAGCAGTGGCGGTCGCGGTAATTTTCGTTCACTTCCGGCCCCACAGGTGTTACTGGAACGTTATTCTTTTTTATCATTTATAATGCGTAATTACAACAAATAATATTGTTAGGTTTATCAATCATCAAAGGAGCACAAAAATATTCAGGTAGATACACACACACACACACACACACACACTCACACACGCGACACAAACCACACAACATTTCACACTTGAGCATTAATACTTATTTATTTTTATAACCATAGTCTTAAACACGCGATAACTAGTAATATATACTCAGTCTACTTTAGTCACATACAGTCTCGTGTATTACGCGCTCCCGTATATATATAGGGCATAACGCACACCCACCAATCTATATTTTATATAGCTTAACACACACACACACACACACACACACAATGTGTATATATACACATCAAGCACCTCGACGATAAAACGTTATCCTAAGTATGACATTATTATAAGGTACAACCCATAGGGTAATAATGTCGGTAATAATAATAAACACGCGTAGCGTTTTGTTTCTTTGCACACTGCAGTGGATGCATTATAAATCACGGGGATTATGCTAYATAACGTTGCGGCATTCGTGCAAGCGGAAAAATAATACTCGTGCATTTAAACATAAAAAAAAAATCCAAACAAAACAAAACGAGAAAAGCGCCTATGCTATATTATAATATAACACAATATTATTATACATCGTACACGGCAGTGGAACCGTTTAATATGATAATATATATTACGGGAAATCTGTACATCGACACGCCTATTATATGACGTGTACGTAACTAGTGGTATTATTATTATTATTATTATTATTATTTTCGATACGATATCATAATATTAGCTCAATCGGTTGGTTTGATTCGGTGCTCACAAAAAGCAAAAAAAAATATACCACCCGTGAACTGGAGTTGGATAAACGTACACAGACGGAACGGACATTTCAAATTCGTCGTGAACAGCTTTTTGCACGCACAAAATAATATTACAATATTTTAAATGGGTGGTAGCATGGGTATAGATAGGTATGTAGCAACCGAGAAGTGTGTCGTGCATCGTCTCTCTCTCCGAGGGATTTATTATATTATATAGAAAAAAAACTGTACATTGTAATATAATAATAATGATAATATTTATTATTGTCATCATCAATATTAGTATGATATTGCGTTGCGAGGTGAGTTCTCTGTAGTAAGACGAATGGTAAGTAATGAAGTCTCACGATTTCGTACGAACAGTTAAAGTTAAACAGCAGAAAAAGTAGGTACTTCTATTTAGAATTAAAATTTTAGACATGAAAAAAAGCGTACGAGACGAAAATACTATAGAATATCAATAATATTATTATGGTTGTTGCAAAAGCGTTGAAGTCGACGACCGTTCGACCAGTGTTTTTCGATTATATGTAGTTATTTTGATAATAATATGTTTGATATATTATTATCTCCATATTAATTTAGTATCTGAACCTACATGTAGAAGGGTCATGTACGCGTTGTAATAATTTACAAAAAAAAAAGGTTAATCGAATGCCACGATGACTGGAGTCTTAGTTCAAAATGTAATTAATTAATTTAAAATTTAAATTTAATTTAAAGCTCGTCGACAAGTTGTTGATACAATAAACAAATATATAATGCACGTATACAGGATGAACGGCACTATCGAATGACGATAATCGACATACCTATACCACCATTGCACACTGGAAATTTCTGACTCCTACTAAACAAGTTACAATCCTATAAAATATTAATCAATTTTGAAATTGTCTAATCCTGACGGTTTTTCAATCTAGGTATTTATATATCTTAARACTATAAATCGTTTCCCATAAACTATTAAGTAGCGAAAAGCACTTCTACAAGTTTGATTTGATTACGTATGAATCGGGATAATTTATGTTAAAATTTATGTGCGAGTTAATTTACAAGAAAATTTAACTACCGAAACACCGATCTATTTAATTCGTCTAATAATGGAACTTAAATTATGGTAATTACAATAAGTAACGTACGTTTATCGAATTATATGTTGTAAATTATGTACTTATAAAGTTTTGATTAATCGTAGTCAGAAGTTTGAATTTTGACTACTAAAACGTTTTTCATAGACTCCTATTGTTAGATTAAATGCAAAGAGCGATAATTTGATTGTAAATCAGTCAATAGCTCAAATTATTTAGTTCAAAAATGAAAAGCGTATGACAACGTTATATTCGTTTTATAAATGGCTTGTATGGTTTCACAATACTAAGTATAATAAAAACGACGAGTCATTATTTTAAGATGATGATACTTCGGTACGTGTATAGAAGAGATGGAGAGGATTTTGTGAGTAATAAAAAATAAAAATAGAAAAAATAAAAATTATATGATTATCTTAACCACAAAAGATTTTTAGATATCGACCGAATAACGCTGAAAGAATCCTACCCCAGTGTACACTAGTACATATTTTAGAAAATGTGCAACTTTCTAAGRTTCGGTTTTGAGAAATGATGCGTTTGTTTGTGTACGATTACGTTACTGTTTTAACGTTTTTTTTTTCGTATTCATTTTATAGTTTCACACAGATGGTGAAATGTCGTGACTGTTAGTAAAAATACATTTGGTTTGTTTTATTTTTATTGAAGCGTAACTTTGGAGCTACACTTTCGAGATAAACCACGATACGTATGTCTACGTCCTATAATTGTCTAGTAATTGTTTTATTGTAGTAACAAAATTATCGAGGCAGTGATAATATTGATCGAAACGATGGGTACTAATAATATACCAACGAATGTAATACATTATAAACATAAAAACGGTATAGTTATTAGGATTGATCTCTAAATTTATAATCTTACCATGTACGCATTACATCTTAAAAATATTCTTAATTTAATCTAACTGTAAACTAATGTTTATGGACCGGACAGTTTTTTAGTCACTCCTCTGTGGGTCTGTTGTTGTTCCAGAGAACTTTTACACATCAACAGGTTCTTGTACGCTTGACGGTACTCGGAGCTCATGACTACATAAATAATTGGATTGATGCACGTGGTCAAATATATTAGRACATATGCGGTTATGTTTAGCACGTGCAAGTCGTCCAGCTCGTGTGATGTTTTACTAATGGTGATTGGCAAGTAGCATGTAACAAATGATGCAAATATTACAAGGATCATTTTTAGCAGCTTCTTGTCTTTTGACGACATCCTGTCAACGCCAATGGTGCTCTGTTTGCGTGTCCTCGGAGAAGAGTCTTCTTTTGTCTGAAATACCTGTTCAACAAGCATGTTTTATTAACATATTTAATAATGATGTTGAATAATGATTGTAATAAATCTTGAAACTATACAATTTAATCAACTGTATATAATTAAAAAAGTAGATAATTATATTTTATATTAAAAAATAAAAAATAATAATAATGGCAAATTATTAATCGATATTAATTAAATAGATTAAATTAAAATTGTATGATTGTAATAATATCAAAATAATTTTGTTTATAATTAGGTACACTTCGTTACAATATTTACGATTAGTAATCTAATAAAATATAACACAGTTGAMAATWACGTTTTTATTGTTTATTTTTCGTTCATATAACTTAATTTTTTAATTATTTCTTCTAAATAATGTTCAGGTTATTTTTTATCGAGTTAAAATAAAGACAGGACATCAATAATTGTGTTATTTTATGTAAAAACCTACTTGTTTAATCAAATCTATTGATAAAATCTTATTGCATTTCTGTGGTTATTATAATTGAGTTTGTAAAGATACAACATCTATGGCTATTGCCAAATGTAAGTATGTAACTGTATCACATTATATAGACTTACCGCTGACACGACTTGAGTGATGGTGGCGTTGAGGGCGGACGATGGTGAACGGTCTCGTCGTCTGGAACTCCTGCGATCAGAGAAGGATATCGGTGAATAACTCTCATCGAGTCCAGACGAACTWGGGTCAGCGATAATGTCATGTGGGGAAAGGAAGTGTTGTTCCTTCGAGTCAGTAGTGGAGCACGTGCCAGTAGCTGTACTAGATCCGATGGCCGAGTCTGTTGATATCTCGGGCACCTTGAAGCGGGTCTTGAGAGTGTAATAAGGTGCAGCGTCCGATTGTTTGGTATTCATCGTGTGACGTGGGTTAGCCGTTACCGAAGCTCGTGACTTGAGGGCWGTTTTTCGGACGATATAGAAAATCCGAGCGTAACACACCACAATAGACAAGCAGGGTACCACAAATGCACCCATGAACAGAATTTCTTTTGGTGATCGACCAACTGAGTCTGGAAGTATGGAGCAYGAGCCAACAGTCACATCTAAACCGAATTGGCCCCATTTTCCAAGCCACGTAGGAATCAGTAACCCAAAACCACCTACCCAAGTCACCGTCACCATAACGCCCAAATAGAATCTCTTATACAACCTGCAAACCAATTCAAAACATAATAAGTATTCATATTTGCAAGTTAAAATATGAATTAGAATGATGGGTTTAGAATATAAACAGTTTTTGCCTTTATGATTTATATACGAATTGCAAAAATAAGAAATAACGATAAAAATAAATATGTTGGCAACTGTCTAATATACTTATTTGTGTCAACTTGTCATATGTATAATATATGTTATTTTGTTATTTTTATATTAAAATTATTATTTTGGATTAAATTCACAGAATATAAAATTAATATCGTCTGACAGTTATACTGCATCCAGTTCCTCGAGAAACTTTGAGCTTAAAAATATTTTACGTTTTATGTATTATAATTTTTTTTTCACTAAAAAGTGTTGATAACGATGACAGCTAAAGACAAGAAAATTTCAAATATATTCCTGAAACCTGTCAATCAAGTGAAAAGTAATTTTCCTTCTGTGTATCTTATTAAATTAAAGATAAATCCTGATAATAAATTTTGAAGTTAATTTATCCCACTAAATAAAATGAAAAAAATGAAAAATTTATGATTTAATTTAATAGATTAATTTAGCTGTTCAAAGTGTCAATGTATATAATTGAATAAAAACATAATGCACAGTTTGTAATAAGTGTTAATTTATGAGATTTAAATCAATCTATTTTACTAGAATGAAAATAGAGATGATAATTTAACAAAATTACATTTATATAAGTATACTATACTTGTTTTTTTTTCAAATATTAAAATGTTATTAGTATGTATAGTATGTACTAACTATTATTTTTTGATTGGTTTAAAAAAATAAATAGTTATCATAACAAAATAGTGATATTCACTTACTTTGGATAAAGCGACGGATGTCCAATCATAATGTATCGATTTATGGTTATGGCCAGTATAGTAAATAGGGATACAGCTAACAAGCCATATCTGACTAACGGGAATAGGCGGCAAAGCAATTGCCCGTGTATCCACGATCTATACCAGAACGTAGAGGCAGCCAGTGGTAAGTTGAAGCAACAAAAACTCAGATCTGATACGCTGAGGTTGATGATGAATACGGCAGTTGCGTTACGCACCTGAAAAATCATTCARKGTTGTTAATTAATTTACATAAACAGCTTAAAATCTTCAGACGTTAAAATGTATGAACATGGAATGTATAACAGATATGATTCACATTACATCTATAGGTGTCTAATGAAATCAATAATTGAAACATTTGAAACACATTTGATAATTATATTTTCAATTATAAATGATTTCGTAACAATGATTTTACAATGTATATCATAAGYAATGACAAATGAAATAATTAAAAAAAGAATAACATGAAAACCAATCGATGGTAAGTGTGATGTGGTTACTAAAACTTATCTGGCAACAAACAAGCTGAGGAGTCTCTGAGAGATAAGCAACTAGTAGAGATGACGTTTGAAAAATTGAATTATCGTTTTTGGCTGACACGTTAAATGACATAAAATGAAAAAAGTATCCATTAAATAAGACGGGGGATAAAGAATTCTTCAATAAACTATATACCATATATCATATACACGTCCTATCCCAATATTATAAAGTTGAGAGCATGTAGTTGGACGCAAATGCGAATTACTCACACAAGAATTACTTTTCATATTTTTTTCCCCCGAAAAAATAATACAATAGACTTTGTGACTGTTCATTCGACAGTACAAATACTATAATATGTATTATGCATCTTTGGTGTGACTTATTTTTATTGGAAATTTAGTTTAAGAAATGCAAAATAAATCTATAAAATATATTATACTTTATCGATTGAATCACTCAACTAATCAATATCGAAACAAAATAATTTTTGTTCATCATACAATTTATATCAAACACATTTTATCGAGATTAAATAATAAACACAAGTGACGTGAAAAATTGAAATAAAGTAAGTTTTTCAGAAGAAAGTGTATGGCTTACAAAAGTTAATTTTGATTTGATAAAAATGGCACGTGACTTTGTTAAACTTATACATTCCGGTTCAGTCGTCTGTAAAATATGACTTGATGAACCAGCGACAGACAAATAACAGTACCGTTATTCCTTGATAAATAAATAAATGTATATATTTGTTTAGGTATTTGAATGTTTATATAATATTTTTTTTTTTCAAAATACATTTTATGTTTGATATTCTAAATGTCGATAAATTTGTTGAACTTATTAAAATGTTGAGAATATAGTGCATTTTCTTCGGGTTTTCCTTTCGCTTAGAAGAATTTTGAATTCCGTTTGAAAATATAAAATAAATTTTAACTTTATTATAATATTATGATCGTAATCATAGAATTTTTGAATGAAAATTTCATAAAAGCATTTTAATATACGAAAAAGAATTATTATCAAATCATTTGTTGACATAATATTATTCTTACTTTAATAGGAAATATTTTCTTAAGATATTTATTTGGAATTTAAAAAAAGAATATTTTAATATTATTCAAATTTTATCTTTTTTTTTATTTATTGACATTCGTTTAACATGTAACTAGTCAGGTATTTTTAGTTTTAATTTGTGATCTCTCGGGGAAAAAATACAATTAATATACCTATTTCAGTGGAATATAATTCAAATGTAATACATGATATTAAACAAAAAACGGTTATTATAACAAAATAAAATAATTAAATTTTAAAACATTAATATTATTGAATTGTTGGAATTTTTTATTATGCAGTTTAACATTTATTTTAATAGCGTGGTAATATATTTTAATTGGTTCCATTCATTTGTATTACGATCTAAAATTTTAAGATTGACCATTAGCATGATTTAAGTATTTATAAAATATTTTTAATATATTGTTAATTAAATTAATATAAGCAGCTATCATACATTTTAGACTGTTCTATGATCATTGATCATCATTCAACAGATACTATAATAGGTTCTGGGGAAACTTCTTTAAGTAATTGGAATTAGTATATCTTTATCTCAGTTTATCTTATACAATTTCAGTAGATCACGGCAGRCTTAGTATCGGATCACACGCTAAACCAATGCTTATTTATCATTGTTTGAAAAATATTTGAATTCTTGTTTAAAATATGTCATAAATATAGTGAATAGTAATGCATTTAAAATAGGTACAATGTTTTAGTTAAAATTTTTTTTTGAGAAGAAATCACGGGAACCCTATGCATAATAGTTCAACCTTTTAACATTGTCATGTATGTCTAATGAAAAATAGATACTACGAAAAAGAAACAAAAGTAATACAAAAAAAAAAAACAAATGCTTGAGTTATTCTATCAATTATGCGTTTATTCGTGCTTTCATTTRGCTGCAGTTTACGGATCTGAATGGTCTAATGGCGGGATGTGTGTACAAATATGTTGAACATTGTAAATTATCTCAGTAATTCACCTCACTCGGACAAGTATCTTACGTGTAAGGTATTATTTTTATTTTTCAGCCCACAATAATTGACATTTGACATTTTCATTGCTACRTTTGTATCTTGGAATAACAGGATTCATGATACAACAGAGTGTCTACTCCTACAATCCACGTGAAGTTAAATAATATGTATTTCTATGTCGTAGTACCTCCGCTGGGAGGCTTCTGCAGTGTGTATAATCTGTCTTTTTATTTATTTTAGTTTTAACACTAATTGTTCTTTTTTTTGAAACAGATTGAATAAAAAAACTTATTTACCAAAAAAAAAAAAAAAAATGTATTTAGACTTAATAATCGGATGATGTTGAATTGATGATGATAAAATAACATTTGGATTATTAAAAAGGTATGGAGATTAAAACGATTAATTTTTTCACTTAGATCCTTTATGCCAATATATTAATATCGTGATGAGCAAAAATATACAAGAAAAACAAACAATTATGATTGATAATATTATTATAAATTCGGTTTCCTCGCCACAATGTACTTTAAATACTATATTATAATATATAATTTAAAATAAGATAATTGTATGAATTGTTTACAGTTAAGATCTAATTAAAATAGAATCCTTTTTAGAAAATATAAGTAAACAAGGTATCTCAGTTAGTCATACACTTTCATGCGTAGTGTAAATTTATATTGTATAATGTTTTTTTTTTTTTTTTGTTGCGATAATGAGTAATTTGGTAACAGTCAGTATCTAGGTTTTGTGTAATAAACCTATTATCTTACTTGAATCGACTTTTCTTTGCCACCATCAGGGAATAATCATGTGCAGCTATAACGTCTGATCCCGAAGAACAATGCAAAAGCATTAATTGCTGAATCGTAGAAGGCTTAAGTTTATTAATATCAATTTATTTAATAAACGACACTCGGTGGGCTAATACTATAGTAAAGGTTATCACAAACGACGTAACTGTTGACAGGCTGTATAAAACAGAGGCTATAAAAAGCTCAGGATCATCATAAAAGACGAGAAAATACAAAACCGCCGAATGCCCACGAAAGATTCATTAAAAACAAATTATAACTGGAATAACTATTAAGGTGTGACGAGACAGTTTATTATTATGAGTTAAGCACAATACGTGTCGTGAAAAATGTTAATAAAAATAGTTTTGTAATTTTGATACATTAAAAAAAAAAATTGTTAAAATAAGTTGGTGTATATTGTGTATTATTATCTAATAATTGAATAAAATTTGTTTTAGTGAAAAGTAATTAAGACCAAGCGAGTTCATAACTAAGAAATTGAAAATAATAATTGATATACGAAATTATATCCAGAAATAATATGATTCAAAAGTTAAATTACCGATTTTTAAAAATTCAAGGCTAGTGGTATATATCCTTTGAATAGTATTCAAATTAATTAGGGTTATGAAATCATTTTTAGTACAACCAAGTTTTCATAAGAATATGGTTGTTGGAATACATTATTTTTTATAATCTTATGCATCACCAAGTACACGTAAAAGTAAAAGTAAAATAAAAATTTATACTTGGACATAAAATAAATATTGCTGGTAATTATAAAGCACTTTGACTAATATATATATATACGTATATATATACCTATGTACCTATGGTACTAAAAAGTTTTACATTTCATGTTATTTGTTTACTGCCTGCTATTACTAAAAAGCTATTTACGTGTGTACGTACTTTAGATTACATCGACACATAGTGATAGTTAAAACTCTCGAGTACTTAAACAGTAAAATAATTTAAGCAATATACTAAACATAGGACAATTTGAAATCAAAATTAATATCAGTTTCGTAAAGTTACCTTTAAGCATCGTTGAATAAAATTTAGTTTCAGAATAAAGACATATTCTAAAGTTTTTCAATCTCATCATTCAAATGGATTTATTCGAATATCTGATAAGAGTAGTAATGTCACTGCGTGTATTATAGTTATTTGACGGCCATTTTATTTTATCGGTGCTTCAGTATCTTTTTTTACGTCTGTTCATAAAATAATGTACTCACAAATACTACTGGAACAGTTATGTTTTATAGAATTACAGTAGTTAAAAACAGGAATAAGGTTAAAGTACTAAAGTGACCACTATTAAAAGGCTAAGTACACGATTTCATAAAATAAAAATAATCAAAATTTAACCAAAAAGTCAATAATAATTCGTTTTTTCAGAATTATTGTTTTTAAATTTATCATAAAAATAATAGTCTATTAAAGCTAGGAAGAAAATATATACAGGTTCCTATTATGAAATATTATGTATTATTATCGACAATAATTCAAATTGTATAGGTATTATTGTGGACTGTAATAACATTTTCAAATAAGTATAATGTAGTTAATACAACCTATATGTTTTTTAATTTCACATAAATGTGCATATTATTTAATGTAATTTTATGAGTTTTTTTAAAAATTGTTTTATGTTTACTAAAATATGAAAATTTAAATTATAATTGTAAAAATGTCAGAAAAGATACACTTATAATTATAATCGGGCACTTACCTAGCTTCGTAACTAATGCAGGATAGTATAGTGTTTATTTGTATCGTGTTATATTTGAAAGTGAAAATAAATTAACGCATTTGAAAATCGATTCTAAGTGGAATTAAAACTGCGACTCATTCCTTTAAAAATGTGGTTGTTAAAAT